ACACTTTTCCTTCTTCCACACTTCCTTTTGTATGCTGGCTTCCATGCCAGATTTAAATTAGTCCCCCCCCTAACCTCTCCCCCGAGGGGAAAGAGATGGGTTCCTTCTCTGAAGAGTTATTGAGATTGTGTCTGAGGCCAGAGTTAGGATCTTAAGTGTCCTGATTGTCTTTTAAGGTATTATCCATAACCTTATGTATAAAAAGTCACAGATGTGACAGAAGAGTAAAGTCAACACAATGTCCAGGCTATTTTCTTCTTCTCTTCCAAATTTGTGGCCATGACCAAGGTATAGAAACATGCACGCACACACGCATATACACACACGTGCATTTTTACACGATTTTTACTCACAATTACACCCTCAGTGTGCAGGGTATTTATCTGGAAAAGAGACTCAAATAGGAATCAGTCCAGTTAGTGAATTGGAAATAGAAGTGGGCTATGAAGAGGGGTGTATTGTTGCCCTAAGCTGCATAAAAGGCAGAAATTTATGTATGCATGGACATATGCATGTGTGGGTGTGCATATACTTAGATACCACTACTCATGATGGGATCATCAAGCACTGATGTCTGTGCACTGATTTGGAATGGCAATATTGAACAGGGGAAAAAGCCTCATCCTTGTAGATTCAGATTAATCAGATTTCAAAAGGAAATAGGGGATTCTGTGAATCATGCACATGGACCTGGAAATCTCCACACAATTATTCCTATAGATTCCTCAGCTGTTGTTCCCTACAAGCACAGCAGCTGAACTACAATGTGTCATCTGCCCAATTTAAATTGTACGTAATAAATTTAGTTGTACACTGAGGAAAACACCATTGCTAATCTGCTCTTTTTCCTTCCAGTGTGCTCGCTATGATAATGCATTTGCTGCAGAAATTCTAATTGACAGAGGAGTAAATGTAAATCATCAAGATGAGGATTTTTGGACATCAATGCACATAGCCTGTGCCTGTGATAATCCTGATATAGTCCTGCTACTGCTACTAGTAAGTAAAGCAAACCAATGCATTGTGTGCTTGAAAAGGAGACAGAATGGAGCATGCTAAGGTCTGAAACTGCTATATGAAAGCAATATAGTTCTACTAATCATATCAGTGAAAGCACGTACAGTGTGGTTTTTCTTGACATTGCTTTTGTGCTCAGGAATTTTATAAGGCATTTTTAGGACTTCAATGAGAATAAATTGCAAACATCAGTGTCAAGTATCTCCTATTTCTCCACTGTGGTCCAGATCTTACATCTCTGAAACACTCAGTCCCAAATGGAATATTCAGATAATTTCTTTTCTTTTCTCCTTGTCACTTTCTGTTAAATGTTGAGTTGCCAGACAATCTTAAAAAGCAAGTATTGGCTGACTTATGCTCAGTATCCATAAAAAGTATTTGTGGACATGGTCAAAATGAGACAAATTTAATATTTATATAAACAACTTTGAATTTTTATGCTGAGTTTGCTCAATATAGTAATCTATATGGCATTCAGCCTTTTTAGAGAGCAGTAGTGTGCCCAGGTGGCCAAGAAGGCCAATGTCATCCTGGCCTGTATCAGCAGTACTTGTGCCCAGCAGGAGCAGGGCAGTGATTGTCCTCCTGTATTTAGCACTGGTGAAGCCACACCTCAAATCCTGTGCTCAGTTTTGGGCCCCTCACTACAAGAAAGACACTGAGGGGCTGGAGCCTGTCCAGAGAAGAGCAACCGAGCTGGGGAAGGGTCTGGTGCACAACTCCAGCTGCAGGAATATGGGCTGTTGAGGATGTAGAAGAAAGGACCAGAGAAAACCTGAAAGAACGTTGTAGCAAGGTGGGGGCTGGCCTCTCCTACAAGGTAGAAAGTAGCAGGACAAGAAGAAATGGACTCAAGGCACATCAGGGGAAGTTTAGATTGCATATTTGGAAAAACCTTCTCTGCTGAAAGAGCAGTCAGCATTGGAATAGGCTGCCCATAGAAGTGGCAGAGTCAACATCCCTGGAAGTATTTAAAAGGTGTGTAGATGTGACAGATATGGACATGGTTTAGTGGTGGACTTGGCAGTGCTGACTTAATGGTTGAACTCCATGATATTAAATGTCCTTTCCACCCTAAATTATTCTCTGGTTCTCTTTTGTGCTTCCTTGCCTAGGACCACAAACTCTAGTTTTATGCAATGGTACTGATGCAGCTCATTCTCTCAGTTCGTGTGGCATTGCTCTTCAAAACTGTAGTGTAGAAGCAGCTCACAGTCTGACTTAAAGTTTTTTAGTCTTTTTATATAATTTAAAAATGTTTATGTTTTAAACATGTTGTTGTAAGGTCAGAATTTTTTTTCATGCTTATAATTTTATTTCAGTGTTACAGGTAAAGGGAAGGTAGATAGATTTTTAGACTGTATCCTTGATAATACATTTAATGAAATCTCTTTGGGAGATTTAGTCCATTCCCTCTGCTCAGACAAGAGCTAGGCACACCAGCTTGCCCAGGACCAAGTCTTCAAGGATGTAAAGTCCACAGACTCACTGGACAACCTGAGTTGTCCAGGCTGGACAACTGGGCAATCTGTACAGTAAAAAAAAAAAAAAAAAAAAAAAAAAAAAAAAAAAAAAAAAAAAAAAAAAAAAAAAAAAAAAAAACAATCAGATACATCTGGTTTTAAGCATTGTAATTACTCCTGGCAAATAATGGATAAAATTTCCAGGTTGATTTATCTCTTGTATTACCTCAATCTGTCCAGTGTAGATACCTCTGAAGCCTATGCATTATGCATGTACTCCTAGACTGATAAACAAACTAGAACAGAGAAGTTTATTCATAAAAAGCTCTTGTACTGTGGGAAACTCTTGTAATGGGGGGAATTTTCAAAAATTCTGAGTACAATGCTGTTGTCATTAATAGGAGCAGTTTAGATTATAGAGGGCTTTTGTAAAATTTTCCTTGATCACTTTTGCAAGAAGCTTAACCTAATTAAGCTTTGAGTGTTGCTATATAGGGTTATGTCCAAACTAATTTTCCAGGCCATCATCTGAATATTTTTTGACTTGGTCCCTGTTGTTACAAGCTGCCTTCCTCTGAAGGTTGTAAGCAATTTCTGATATCTTGGTTGCCTAATATATTCAAATTTCAATAAGCAGGGGTACACACGTGGATTTTTTGCAAATAAAGTTTGAATTGTTCATATTATTTATGATAGCTTCTGGCAAATCTGCCCACATTTAGGTGGTCAGCACTTTAAAAGGCAGAGTTTCCTTGACCAGATAAATAACATCTTTATATTCTCCCTTCTAAAGTAAAAATAAAGAATTTGAAATTTTGAGATTTAAAGATTTTTAAGGAAATGGCAGAAGAAGGAAAATATTCTTAGGTAAACAGTAGGTTTTGTACCATCACATTAATGTTCTCTTTGATAACAAATGACAATGTGAAGATGAAAACTGAGGTTGGAGAGACTTATTTTTCACAATTCTGAATTGCCTTTGCGTGAGCAATTCATATTAGAAATTACTTTGCCTTGAGGTTAGTGTTTCATGGACCATGTCTAATGAGTAGCATGAACCTTGATAATGCCAATTTGAGCTATAGTCAGCTTCTATTATGCCACAGTTTTTCATTGGAAGGAAAAATAATGCTTCTTGTAACCTCAGGAATTACTTTTAAATAAATATTTATTCTGGACTGAATTTATAGCCCAGGCAGTACCATATTTTCTGTTTTAAAGATGTGCCCTAAAAGGTAACAGCATGATCCTTTAATTGTTCAATTCAGATTTCTGGAAAACTCTCAGAAGCCAGTGGAGATTCCCTCATTAAGGACTTAAAACATTTCTTGTCAGGGAAGTAGGAAAACAGAAAATATTAAAAATTGTATATTAAAATACCAGAAGGCTATCAATGAAGATTTGCTTAAACACTCCCAGTTTCTGACTTCACCCCACTTTTGATGGGCTCAGACTTCATTTTTCTCTGGCTGACACAAGATATTGTCTTGTCATTCATAATCTAAACTGATAACTCACAATGTCTTTGCTCTGGTAGACAGCAGACAAAATCAAAGCTCATTCACTGCAAACTAGGAGGGGCTGTAGCTGTTTGCAATGGGGTAATCTTCTGTCATGGCCTGCTGGAAGGCTATTGGAATTGTTAATACTTTTTTTTGGAATAGATGCAGAATGAAATGCTTGAAGCTATTTCTTTCCATAATTTCCAACACTTTACCTTAGGTAAAGCTTTCCAGGGACATATTTATGTCTTAGTTTTGTAGCTGTCAGCAAGGGGAGAGGGGAGCACTGGAATGAGCAGCCAGGAGAGACATCCTGTGTGTGCTAAGCAGGCAGTCAGTGAGGAGCTTAGCCCGGGGCTGGCACAGGAGGAGATGCAGAGATCAGAGGTGGTCCATGGGGGTCTGCCTGCCGTGCACGCCGATGAGGAGGGAAAGGTCACGTTCATCAGTCACTGCTCCACCACATCAGCACTGTGTGTTCTCCCCGTGGCATAGGGAATTGCTCTTCATGGATTTTGTATGAAGGAGGCTCCTGTAGAAGGTTGAAGAGAATGCTGAAGTGTTTTTCATTTAAAAACCGAGGTGTGTAGGCTTATATACATTTGTGCCCACATTAAATCTCTTAAGAATGTGAACAGCAACCAGATTTATTGGAGGGATCTGCTCTGTCTTGCCTCACTGCTTTTTGTAGGCTCAGGACTGAATGTGCTGTCAGCAGCTCTGTCTGGTTGGGGTGTGTTCTTTTTCATCATTCAGAGTGCATTGAAACATTGGTTTTTTATGAATTCCCTACACTTGTTCTATATTGAATTCAAACACTAGCCAAGATTTGTACCTTAGTATCCAATGTTCTTTGTCCCATGCTATCAGAGTTGCAGAATGTCCAAGAACCAGCATTTTGGTGCTGCTCCTGCTTTGTTAGTTGTAGCAAGTGGCCTTTAAATGGCTACAGCTTTAAACTTGTACCCATCACTTACAGTCTAATTAGACTTACAGTCTAAGCTTTGTTCCTCCACAAAAGACACAAATTTTTAGCTTTAAATAATTTTAATTGATACATAAGAGTGGGTAACCCTTACTTTACTTGTGCACTGTTCAAACTGTCTTCTTGTCATGACAGCTCAACCCCACACAGCTTCTCATTCACTCCCCCCAGGTCAGGATCACAAGGGTAAAAGTGAGAAAACTTTTGGGTTGAGATAAAGACAGTTAATTAGGGAAAACAAAAGCTGCACACATAAGCAAAACAGAAGAAAAATTAATTCACCCTGTCCTATCAGCAGGCAGGTGTTTAGCCATCTCTGGGGAAGCTGGGCTCCACCACGTGTAACAGTGTCTTGGGAAGACAAATGCCATCACTCTGAACATCCTCCTCCTCCTTTCTCAACTTTATATGCTGAGCATGAGGCCATATGGTGTGGGACATCTCTCTGAATAGTTGGGTGGCCATCTGTCCCTGCTGTGTCCCCTCCCAGCCCCTTTGCACCCCCAGCCTGCAGTGGTGGGGTGAGGAACAGAAATGGCCTTGGCTCTGTGTAAGGGCTGCTCAGCAATAGTTAAAACATCCCGATGTTATCAACACCTTCTTCAACACAAATCCAAAACTCACACTGGCTACTGGGAGGAAAATTACTCAATCCCAGCCAGAACATGCACACATATGGTGGAATAAACATTGACACTCTTGCAGTTTTGTATATTAACCTTGGCTACTCAGAAGTAGGGTAGGTAGATAAAAATTGCAGGTGGAGATGGTATTCTGCTGTTTGTGCAGTATGCGGCACAGTAGAGATTTATTCTTTATTTATTCTTTCATGGAACTGAAAGTATTACTGAGATAAACTTGGCACTTAATTAACTAGAAGAGATCAGTACTACATCCTCAGAACACTCTTAATAAATTTTTTTAAACTGACCTTACTAGGAAAAGTAAGTGTACCTTCTGTCTGCTAACTAATTAAATGTTTCATCGTGCACTTTTTGGAACCTAGAATTGAAGCACAAAATGCAAATCTGG